AACCCCCCCCCCCCCCCCCAAAAAAAATTTTTTTTTTAAAAAAGTCTGAGATTGGCTTAAATATCATGAATTGATATGTTTTTGGATTCTTCTGGGGTTTTTAACTTTAAGGCTTTGTATTTTCAATTTTCCTCCACTATACTAAGGAGTTATAAACCCTTCTTTTTTCCTTAATGTGGAGATACTTATGTAGCAATTCGAATCCAAAGGTGGGCCTTGAAAAGAAACCAAATATTGCAAGACCCATCATAAAATTGCAAAAGTTGGTAGTATTGGGTCTAGCAGACAGTACTGAATGTTAATGCCTGGGCTTAGCGTATCTAAAACATCACTTAAAACTCCAGCAAAGTAACAACTCTGCTCTTCAGGCACAATGCCACAAGATAAAGTTAATCTCTGAAGGAGACATAGCTCTCTCAGTGAATGGAGTGAGAATGAACTCCCACAGGAATTAATGAACATCGCAAGATTCACCACCTTCATGTATACTGTACATAGTATCTTTTCTAACATATACCTGTAATAAAATGTGCTTTCACAAAACAAAAGCAAAACAAAACATTACTTTGCGCACACAGTTCTCCCCCATGAGAAAAGATAAAAGAGTGAGAATGAACAACATGTGACAGTTCCAGCTAATGTTTCTTAATGAACTCCTGAAAGAAGCTTAGATACTATGGTGAAGGCAAGAATCTACCTAAAGGGCAGAACAGAACAGAATATTGCTTCTGTCCACGGCTATCATTGATTTTGCTCCTATGTTATTGCTGGTAGGTTGAAGGTGACTCCATATGAAAGAACCATCAAGCAGGCTAGCAACTGGAGATGTGTGTCTAGACTAATAGATAGTTTGGAATCATAAAATGTGTGGAATGAAATTGGAATCAAGTTTAGGAGTCTTTAGGAAAAAAGAGCAGTCCTTTGTATTTGTACAGGGTTTTCAAGCTAGAAAGCCTCCCACCCCCAAAACTTCACAAGATACACACATCCACCACCACCAAAATGCTGATGCCTCTGTCATAGAAAATGGCAGAAACTCAGGCTGGCACTAGGCACGCTGTCTGGCATTAAAAGGGGAAAGTATCCACTGGGGAAAACTCAGTCTCTTATAGGTTCTTCCCCATTCATATAAAACAGACAGGAACCCAGAGGGTGTTTTCTCCTGTTAGAGCCTCTAGCCAAATTCAGTACACAGGTTGGAAATCAGACTACCTACCTAAGAAGAAGGAAGAGCTACCTGATGCTGACCCCACAGTAGTTGGGCTGTTGGTATGGTGTGAAAACAATATTTAGAGACTGATTGTGGGCTAAATGGATGGGGGTGGTATTTCTAAGTGTGGTGGTGTCTTTTGTACTGTGAGTTGGTTAATAAGTACTTGACTGTTACCACTGTCAGTATCAATTAATGTTCAGGTATGGAATAAGCAGGGATAAGAGCCATTACACATCTTAAATTATTCAACAAATATTAGGACCCAGTCAAAAATATTTTTTCCCAAAAAAGTCACAATTTTATCTTTTTAAAAAAATCTGAATGTTTAAAAGATCAGAATGTACTATAAACCTTTTTTCTTTTAGTATTTTCCATTTTCAGCATATGAATGTTTTAGTAAAATGACATGGATTTTTGTTCCCTAAAACCACTGCTAACTGTAAAACTCACTTCCAAAAATTATTTAAAAAAAGGAAAGCAAATGTTTATTTTCCTGATTTATATTTTTATACTCAACATCATAAAACAATAAAATGTGCTGTTGTTGGCAAAGAAAAGCATATTTAAAAAAAGCAAATGAAAAATTTCAATCAGCTATAGTGAAGATAAACAAACTATTAGCAGTAATATTTAAGTCATTTTATAATAATTGCTTATCCATTAATAATATGCAATATTGCTTATCTATACATATAGGTTCTTGAAGAGAGAATGAAATTGGAATGCAAGTGTCATGGCGTATCAGGTTCCTGTACAACTAAGACCTGCTGGACCACACTTCCTAAATTCAGAGAGATTGGATATATTTTGAAAGAAAAGTATAATGCTGCAGTACAAGTGGAGGTGGTACGAGCAAGTCGGCTCCGGCAGCCAACTTTCCTGAAGATTAAGCAGATTAAAAGCTATCAAAAACCAATGGAAACCGATTTGGTGTATATTGAAAAGTCACCCAACTACTGTGAGGAAGATGCTTCCACAGGAAGTGTTGGTACCCAAGGACGCCTCTGTAACCGTACATCTCCCAATGCGGATGGATGTGACATGATGTGCTGTGGAAGGGGTTATAACACCCACCAGTACACCAAGGTGTGGCAGTGTAATTGCAAATTCCACTGGTGCTGCTTTGTCAAGTGTAACACATGTAGTGAGCGGACAGAGGTATTCACCTGCAAATAATAGCGTTTAAATAAACAGAACAAGTCACTGCAAGTGGACAGAAAGTGGAGTACAACAAACAACTACAGCATCATTTTGCACATCTAATTTTCTTTGGGAAAAAACTCAATCTCTCCCTACTACTTACCCTTCTAAAGGATGATGTGTTTTGGCTGGCTGGTCATTGTAACTGCTTTGGAAATAAGGGCAACAGGATTAAGGTGACGTTGAAAAACACATGCAACTTTTCCTCCTGTTTTTTTTTTTTTTCTACTGCAGTCTGGGTGTCGTAGAGTTTTCCAATTAGGATTTTAAGTTATACATATCAGAGAAGCTGTCTGAATTACAGTTCCCAGGTGATGTAAACAAAAAAAAAAGACTTTTTTTCAAATTTTACAAAAAAAAAAGACAACCCCCCATCCCTGTGCAAATAAGACTTTTTTTAAAAGAACTTTCTTTGGAAAAAAAAAGAAAACCCAGCAATATTGCTACAAAAACCCCCTAATTTCTAACAAAGCAGGTATAGTAAAAACTAATACTGATAGTGAAGGAAAAATATAAAATGGAAAAACTCCACTATCGGTTTGACATACAAAGTTCACAAAATTATGTCAGCTGCCAGTGACACTGGAACTCTTGGAATGAACATTGAAAGATTATTATTTATGTTTTAATAGTGTCAAAAAAATTCTAAGCACTAACGGGTAGCTATGTCTTAATTCTGTACTAAATGTAAACTTATTGGAATTCTGACTTTATGATTTTGTATTTGGTTCTCCCTAAGTTCTTCAGTGCTACTGATCTGTTGTCACTCCACTATTAGAGATTTCAATTACTGTAGGCCTTAAAGCAATTATGAGAATTGAGCAAAAAAAAGATCATGCAAAACTGTGGTTACAAAAACTTGGTATAGTTGTTTCCTGCCAACCTCTGAACAATAAGTAGTCTTGCAGCTCAGGAGTAAGGCAGGGAGCATCTATTTTCAGTTTAGCATGAGGAGTTTTAGGACACAAGGATATGCTTCAACAGATATGAAAGATTTTTCTTTGAAGACAAATACATTGATTGGATCTTCCAAGCAATTACACTTTCCTTTTAAGAGTTACAGCTTAATAATTCCTAGGAGAAACTTTCCTACTTTCAATATTTTAAAGAGCTTAATGCTCATAAGCCAGGTAGCTAATAAAAATACAGTAGCTGAACTACAACTTATGAGTTTTGATGGCTACATTAGTGTACCACAAAAAGCGAAGAAATTTTATCCTTAAATGTCACAATTAATCTAAGATTGGCAACAATAAGTTACCCTTCCCTGGGATAAATATTTTAATGTAAAAAAACAAAAAAAAGTTTTCACACCATCCTTTCACTCCAACTCACACTCCAAAAAAGGATTCCATCTGTTTAGTACTGTAGATCCTGGTTAATTTAACCACAAGAGCCAGATCTGTCCAACTGTAATAAAACTACATAGCTTATCTTATAGCAAGTATTCAGTTGTAGTGTGGCTCTCTATCTGGCTTCCAGGAAACTTGGATGAAGTATTGTCTAATGATGATAATCCGAATGTGCGGTTTTGCTTTTCAAAGAGTCATCTGGGAATTCTTTCTAAGCATGTGGCTCTACTTGTTCAGCAGTGACTAGTGAGTTTTAAAACTGACTGGAGATAACTCAAGGCACCTGCCTTCCCAGTGCTGACCCCTTGCTCTCTGGAAATCAGACTTCTTTCAACAGAGCACCTCGAAGCTGAGGGGCATGTCAAGACAAGTGTGGATGTGCAGTATGCGGCGCCACAGACCCATTGCATGTGCTGCGCATTCAGACATTTCCTGCACTCCTAATTTGCAGCACAGGTGGGGTTTTTTGACATGGGAGATCCTAGTGTTAAAAAAACCTGCGCCTTAAAATAACACTGCAGAGCACTGTGACAGCAGTGTGCACTGCTGAAAACCGGAGACTAGCCAGCTGAAGCCACACTCCAGCTGCCAGCTAGGCTTCATGCTGCTGGATTGCTGTGGCTGCAGCCCCCAGAGGCCCTTAGGACTCCAGGTAAGGCTACTAGGGCCAGGCCAAGTGCTGCCCCCAGCCTCCCCTACCCCACCCAGGGCAACATGCCATGCCATGTGCCAGAGCATGCTTGCATGGGCGTTTCCTAGAGAAAAACAGTAGCGGCATATTGTGCCACTGCTGTTTGTCCCCAGGGAAATGCACATTCCCACTCCTGGGGACATGCCCAAGGATTCCAAATTCCTTCTCTTCAAGGTGAATACAGCCCTTGTGCAAAGGAGGGCAACTCCATTAATATCAATAGAGTCACCCACACTTATGCTAGAATCACTCAATAAAGTCCCTCTTGACTCATGGGTATTGTTGTCTAACAATAAAATATATACTGTACTTTCACTTAATTCTTGACAGGAAGCAAATAAAGCTCCCATGCACAGTCAAATGGTACTAGATACTGTAAATATATTAGAATAGTATTTGTTGAGTACAATTGAGGAATCCAATTAAGTTATATTATTGTATATCGTTTAAATGTCTATAGAGTATTTTAAATTATTGTGAACTACACTGAGTAAAAAAATATATATATTATTACACCAACCACCCTGAAAAGTGGACCAAAATGACACTTTCTTAGTTGCCCGTCATTGAAATAACTATTTTAGCTATCCTGATATTTCTACTGTGGATTTGATTTCAAAACTAAAATTCTTCAGAGCAGCTTTGCTCTTTTAGGGTGGGGTGTTCAGAGAGGTACTCTAGAGCACAGAGCAGGGGGCAACCACAGCAGTGCATGGACTTTGAGCTATGACTGGGAAAAGAGCAGTGCATTTTGGTTAAGATAGCACCACTGTTGATATACTGAAGCACATGTGAAAAAGACAGTGACAGCCTTCTAACAAAGGCTCATGGCTGCAATTAGCTTACAAATAGCATTATCCTAAACAAATACAGTTCAAAGAGCTGTTGACAGTAGAACATTTGAATGCTAACAGCAACACAACATGGTTTACAATAATGAGAAATGACAGAGCTCAAAATAATGTATCTTATTAAAGAATTTAAGAACAAAGATCAATATGTTTACTATGTTAATGTTTTGTGGCAAGGAAAAAAAACAAAATGAAATGTGTTTCCATTAAAACTTAACTTTTACCCCTTCTAGCCCTTTTTCATTGTGTTTGCTATCCCACCCTTCAACAAATATGATGCTTAAAAATTGTTCAGTGGTCATCTGAAAGAAGCTTTTTTTGTATGACTTGATGCATGCTTAACAAATCTACAACAGATATGCATGTGTAGGACAAGGTAATAATGGAAGATCTTGGTGTTGCCAAAGCCCATTTTTCTGTGTGTTCTGTACGTAAGTAAACAAGGAAGGATAATGAAGAATACACAAGACATATGAAAGAAGGCCCTAGCTGACTAAAGACTTATACCCATGCACAGATTTTAAATTGTAAAGGGTTTTTTATATGCTTAGGTCACAAATGTGGAAACATGTAGCTGAATTAGGGTTCAAGAGAAAATTGTACAGTATTAAATCAATTGATACTTTTATCAGGGTAGAAATCACTCTTCAGTAGTGTCACTAGCGTCATTTTATAGCAAGTACAAAGAGTTATAGTCTATGATGGAATATTTCCCCCCTTTGAATTATGAATAAATTCAAAGTAACTTCATTAAAATGAATTCAATTACTCTGGGTTTATACAAGCACAGATACAAGTAAAATTTAATTCAAAGATACCAAGAAGCAATATATCTTCTTTGTAATTATATCACAGGCAACTTCTTATTGAAGTTGTATGTAGTCAAGGTGTATTTCTACAACAAAACTGGAAAGTAGATGAAGTGCATCCAAAGGTTTGCAAATCTAAATTATGCTGCAAGTAGAAGTTCTGGGTAATTGTTTCATTTCAATAATGTTTTACTATATTTTTATAGTTTGTTTTGAAAATACAAAGTGATGCTGTAAAAATAATAGTTCAAAAGTACAATGTCGCACTCCTATTATACTAGGTTTCCCATGGAAATAGCTTGATTGTATATATAAGTCCTTCAGCCATGCAGAAGAGATATTTCTGTCTTATCCCTTGTGAACTGAAACCTCTGCGTTCCCTGGAAACCTCCTTCTCTGAAGCTTGAAACAATTAGCCATCATGGCAGTTGTCACAGCCTGACTGAATGGCTGCTCGTTTCACTTTTGATCATTAAGAAATATTGCAATGACAGCTCCCAGACTGAGGGCAGTACTGTAAGTATAGGAACAAAAGCCCAGCATTCTTTTCTCAGAGTGACACCAATAGATGAGGATGGTTGCATCTATACTCAAATCAAAATGAGAAACAGGCTGTATGGGGTTGAAACTATACTAATCATTATATTATGTATTTAAATTCATATATTATTTTATAGGTTATCCAAACCAAATCCAAACCCCTGTAACTTTGGAACCAGTTGCATCCAAAGCCAAACTTTGGGCCTCAGCCTCTACATTTCCTTGTCCATTGGAATCCCACCACTGCAAGGTCCTAATTAAAAGAGAAGTGCCTTCCTGATTAACTTTGGCAGCTATCAATGAAAACTGAGCTCTCCTCATTTCATGGAACATCCATTGAGTGTTAATGTATTTGAGGTTAACGTGTTTTGTCTTCATTTCTGGCATTGCTTTGGACTCTTAGTGTGTGCTTTTTTCTTCATACTATGAGCAGGAGTGGATGCAGGGTTGTGCCAAAGCAGTTCTGATTTTTTGTTTTGTTTTGTTTTTTCCTATCATCCCATTCTTGTTGCTTCCTTTTAACTAAAAAAATATTACGCTACAGAAAAAATTCTGGGATGTCTTTGCAAGCTGGATCAATGCCCTAGTGACATGATGATACAGCATTCTTATCTTTGGTTCTCACAGAATTTCCCCTTCAAGGGCATGCACCATGTGAGTTACTTAATATATTGTGGCACTTCTGTGAAGTGTCCTAGCATGAATTTATTGTTTTGCTTTTCTAGATATTTTGCCAGTATATTTCATGCTGCTTTAACTAACCTAGCTATTCCTGAACACACATTAAACAGCCTTTTTTTTTTTTTTTTTTTTTTTCTGAAGGTTCAAGTCAACTCCATTTTAGTGGCCCATGTGGGATATAGCCTGCCATTGGCTTCCAGGTTAGCCCATTGTGTGAACTTATTAAAAAGATGCTGTGTTCTTAAATGTTTAACCCTTAAGACATTACCTTGTATCTTAAAAAACTATCTC